AGGCGCCGAGCCAGAAGGGTCCACTTTTCTGTCCCTTAAGCCTGTTAAGGACACCAAGCCTCACAAGCCAGCCTGGGGACAGAGTCTAGGGCCCATGGTCCTACCTGCCGTGAGGGCCATGGCTTGTCGGGGAGCCTGGGTTGGGGGTGGGGTGCCCCTGGCCTTCTGCCACAGCTGTGTAAAACTGGGAGAGGGGGGTGGGTGTTGAGTCACAGAGCCTGCCGAGACTCACAAAAGGATCACATTCCCACTCACAGCCACCTACCCTAGTGACGCAGCCTTGGGTAGGCTGTGCTGGAGGTGGGCAAAACCCCTTTGCTCATTCTCAGTTTCAAGGCCCTCAATCTCTCTACCCCACTGGAGCCAGGCTAAGGCCATGGGCGGTAGCCATCACTGGAAAGGCTAAGGTAATTGTGGCCAGGACCAGCTGCAGCTGGGTCCCTCCTGGTTGCTCTGGTCCTCCGAACAGTGTGGCCTGCTGTGACTATTCAGAGGAGGATGTGGCTCAGAGTTTAAGGGATCATTTCTCAGCCAGGAGGGCAGGGCCAGGACATGGACTGTGTACATCACTCCCAGGCTCATTCCCACCTATGTGGCTCTCCTGACTCCACCTCTGACAAGGACCTACACTCCCATCCCAACCTGGTAGTCTTGCCCCAATGTGTCTTAAGTCACATCTGGCCTCTCTCATCAGCCTCCCAAATCACTTACAGTGAACCGACACTGTGTCACATCATGTAAACCTGGCCAATGAACCCATGCACTCACAGTCCAAGGCAGGGACCAGACACCCGATTCTTGCACATGTGAGAATGGAGGCTGAGAGGCCAGGTCTTGCCCAAGGTGACCCAGCTTAGAAGTCCATTTCCTGACTTGTGGGCCAGAGAGCCTCCTCAAAGGGTCACTGGTTTTAGGGGAGGGGATGTTAAGGAGTGGCCTACTTAAGTCTCACAAAGAATTGCTGCCATCAACCAAGCAGCCAGTGTTACATCCAGGGAATTAGTTGGAACCTGTATACAGGGACCTCTGACTCCAGAAGCACCACCAATAGCCCTTTTATCCCAGGCCCTCACCTGGCCCTGCACCAGACACTGAAGGAACCAGGTGCACTGATGGGCAGAGAAGGCCAGTGAGACTGAAGCCAGAGGCCTCTCAGCAGTGAGAAGGGGCTCACTGCATCCCTGGGCCATTGTAGGCCAAGTCATACAACCACATTGCTGGTCACAATAGGCACACTATAGACCCTCACACACCTTGTGTTAGGTGGTACCAATTGGTGTTTATTGAATAACCTAAGTCTGGGACATGGTGAATGATTCAACATCAAGGAAGCCATAGGTGTATACCCTTTTCAGTGAAAAGCCACCCCTTCTCACCCTCAACAATAATGAGAAAAGGCACAGTATGCACACACGACACGTGGCTGGGCAGGGTCCATAAATTACAGTGAAAGTGGGGGAGGGACAGGAGATTAAAGCAGGTGGGGTCCAGGCACACCCCAGGGAAGGACAAGGAGGCTGACCCATTCCAGGGCCCCTGCTGTGAGTACCCCCAGTCTGCAAGGGTTCCTGCCAGCCCTCTGCTCTAACCAGCCTGAGGGGACAAGAAGCACAGGGTCTCTCTCAGTCTCTCAGGAGTCGTGGAGAGAAATGAGAAAAAGCCTCTGTGGAGGCAGCAAGCCAGGGAATCCAGAAAAGTGGGACCACTTTTTCTCGTGGGAGCCCTATCAAGACAAGGAACTTTGATCTTAGTGCCCACTCTGAAAAGAAGGGCTTGATGCTAGGGTGGGGTTGGGGGCTGGGCTCTGATACCCTGGCTTATTTTCCAGGTCAAGAATTAGGGATAAAAATATACAGATGCTCCTCAAATTACAATGGGGTTAGGTCCTAATAAAGCCATCATCAATGTCAAATATTTTAAGTCAAAAATTCATTGAATACCCTAAGAAACCCATCGTAAAATCAAAAAAATTTTAAGTTGAACCATGGAGGGTAGGGGACAGTCTGTACCACAGAGGTAGGAGTTGTGGGAGAGGTAGGACAGAACCGAGGAACCACAATGAAGGCCCTGGGCCCCAGTCCAAAGGGGTGGCTTCATCTCTCCCTGCCCCCCTGGCCTACCCTGAGCTTAGGCTGACATCCTAGGAGGCGGGGGAGTGGGAAGGAACAGGACAATTAAATAAGATACCATTTATTTTTTAAAAAATTAAAAAATAATGCTGACATTATTTTATCTGTCCCCAGGCCTGTCCCCTGCCTCCCAACAGCCTCCCTGGGTGGGGCTCCCCCTCCTTCCCTGGTGATCCTATGTAATTGAGAGAAAACAATTGGCTTAGTCAGACACAGGAGAAGGGGACGTAGACCAGGGAGAGATGAAGATGCTACAGCAACTTAGCCCTGTGTCAGGGCAAACCCAAGCACATGGATATAAAAACATTCGTATAAAAAGAGGGGTAGGGCATGCCGCATAGTCCTGAGGGCAAATTGCTCTCTGGTGCCCAAAGACCCATGTCCCCCAGAGAGAAAGCCTGATAAAAAAATGAGGAAGCAAAAAGGTGAGAGAGATTCAGGGAGGGAGAGAACTCAGGAGGGCTGGAGGAAGGGGCTAGACAGCGTGGGAGCTCCCCCTGTGTTCTTAAGCCAGGGGTACCCCCAATTCTGGCCCTGCCATTTTTCCTCTCAAGCCTACCAGGCCCTGGACCATGGGCATCTATTGACAGCAGCTCTAAGGGTCTCCGCCCAGGGGCCCACTGGCCTGAGGTGGTCCAAAAGCCTCAAGGTAACAAGGCTTGTCCCCACAGCTTTTGGGGGGAAGATCCTGGGGAAGAGAGACAGAGACAAACAGGTGGAGGGCGGTTGGCTGAGCCCAGTGGTCAGGAGGCGGCGATGGCTGTGCCGCCACCCAGCTTTACAATCATCTGCTGGCAGTCGTTGCAGGAGCGCCGGTCGCCCACCTTCTCCAGGGTGCGGGCGGCCTCGGCCAACAGCACAGCCCGCTGGCCCGGGGAGGAAAGGAAGGAGAGGGGAAGGTGGCGGCAAGCCAGCAGGATGGCAGTGGCCCGTTCTCGCTGGCCGGGCCAGGCATCCACCTCTCCTGTGGGAAGGATGAGATACATGTTGGAACTGAGAGCCTGTGATGAGGCTAGTGCTGTTCTGGGGGTATGACCTTGACTCATGTACTTAACCTCGGATCGATCACTAGAGGTGGGCTCTGCTGCCCTCTCTAGTTCACAGAGAAGTGAACCTGGCAGCATCCCAAGGCTAGTCTGCGGTCTGGCTCCAAAGCCCTGCTTCTACCTTGTGCTGTCACTGGGGCCACCCCCAGCCCTCCCTCCTGGATGACAGCCGGGTCCCCCAGAACTAATGCCCATAGGCCACCAAAGCCAGCCTCAGGCTTCTTTCATTCTCAGGGAGGTAAGAGGTGTGGGGCACTCACCATGCCTGGTGTTCTGGGGAGTGCGCCGCCGTAGGCTGTGCTCCAGCAGCTGATGGGTACGGGTGGGGCTGGCTCCTGCCATTAGGCGAACGGTGGCTTCGTGCAGGAACACCTGGAGAAGTACACAGGGGACATTAGTCAAGCCCCAGGTCCCAGTGAGTGTCTCCCCCTGAACTGTCTCATTTGCCATGTGATGATGGCCCCCTCTTCTGCATACTACCCTACCTTGCTCACCCCTGGAAAGCAGCCTTGTCCTTCACTGTGACCAGTGACCTGGTCATCCAGGGATCTGGATGAACAGCAGGAACGGGGAACAAACCATAGGCCACCTGGCAGTGACAGAAGGAAGAAGAGGCCAAGAGCCCACTTTTCTGCACCGTGATAAGGAGAGCCCTGATGTACCTTCTGGGGCTGGAAGACAAGCAGTCTGACGAAGCCTCAAGGCCCCGTCCCAGAGGCTACCTCCAATTTGACAAAAGGCAGAGGGGGAGGACAGAGAGGTGAGGGGGACGGCTGGGCTGGTACTGAAGAATTGCTCAGTGCCCTATTTCCTTCTGTTTCTTCAGAAAGGTACAGAGTTCATTGGTTTATAGGCCAAAGTCTGCAGCTCTGAGGTAAGTAAGAGCTACTAGTGGGTGGAGGGCAAGGCCCAGGTCTCTCATTTCTTAAAATGTTGGGCTCTTTTATGTCTTAGTATCTTAGGCTTCAGGAGGGTATGCAGTGCTGCCACAGATGACTCTAGTAGAGGAGAGAAAGGATGAAACGGAGGGCTGGCCAGGATGGGTTCCATGAGGCAGGGTACTGCCCCAAACCTTGGGGCACATTTTCTCTTTCCCATAGTAGGGAGTATTTCCTGAAGATTTTATGCATATAAAAGGGTTGTCTTTTATTTTTATACATATAAAAGGCCAGCCATGTACATCTCCGCTTTTCACAATATATGGCTGAATGCTTTCCAGGCAGCTCTGTGTATTTTATTATGTGTGTATTTTTTTTTTTTTTTTTTTTTTTGAGATAAGAGTTTCATTATATTGCCCTTGGCAGACTACCATGGTGTCACAGCTCACAGCAACCTCCATTCCTGGGCTCAAGTGATTCTCCTGCCTCAGCCTCCCAAGTAGCTGGGAACATACATGCCCGCCACAACGCCTGACTTTTTTATTGCAATTGTCATAGCTGTTTGGCAGGCATGGGCCAGACTGGAACCTGCCAGCTCCGGTGTATGTTTACCTAGCCGCTGCAGCTCCTTGGTCAGATGCTAGGTGGGAGGGCTCCAAGGAAGTGGCAGCAAGCTGGGTTACTACCCTGTCCAGGTTCTGTCAGCTTACAGGTTCTGTCAGCTGGCAGAACCTAAAGCTTGTCACAGGTGCCAAGACAATAATTTTCTTGCCTTAGCCTTCCAAGTAACTGGGACTACACAGACACCCATCACAACACCTGGCTATTTTTTTTTTTTTTTTTTGCAGTTTTTGGCCAGGGCTGGGTTTGAACCCGTCACCTCTGGCATATGGGGTCAGTGCCCTACTCCTTTGAGCCATAGGCGCTGCCCACCTGGCTATTTTTTTGTTGTAATTGTCATTGTTATTTGGCAGGCCCAGGCTGGGTTCGAACCCCCCAGTCCTGGTGTATGTGGCTGGCGCTGTAGCCACTGAGCTACAGGTGCTGAGCCATATGTGTGTATTTTTTTTTTTTTTAGAACAGTCTCACTTTATTGCCCTCAATAGAGTGCCGTGGCGTCACAGCTCACAGCAACCTCCAACACCTAGGCTTAGGCAATTCTCTTGCCTCAGCCTCCCAAGTAGCTGGGACAACAGGCATCCACCACAACACCCGGCTATTTTTTTTGTTGTAGTTTGGCTGGGGCTGGGTTTGAACCCACGACCCTCAGTATATG